GAATGAGCAAAATTGTTTTTCCTATCTTTGGGCTGACAACCAATCAGAGGCTCTCGCAGACAACAAGTTGTGGAAAAGATGCAAAGGGTGATATTACATGCCGTTTGTATGTAAGTTATTGGGTATTTTACCCACATGACTGGGAATGTGACTAGTGTGTTGTTGTGGCTGCTCAGAACTTTAAGGACATGAACATCTCCCCGCCGGCAAGTCCTCATTCAATGGAAAGAGTTAAAGCAACAACCGACAACGGTGAATCCAAGGAAGCGGAAATGCTTAACATAGTTCAGAAAAATCGAAACATCGAAAGGGAATAGTCATCAAATGGAGAAAAAAGAGGGTGGCTGAACTATTGGAATTGGATGCGCCACAGAGGCCACCAGATAGAAAAGTACAAACAAATAAAGCCGATGTATACCGATACATGGTTGCAAGAATGCAAAGACATTTTGGAGTGGAACCCAATTATCAAAGTTTATCTATGTATGGGGCAAAACCATACGACTATTCATATTTTCTGTAAATGTGGAATTTTTTTGTCGATGCAAAATTTTTGAAAATATCGCCTTTTTTGTTTTCAGCTTTGTGCAAATATTCCAACTCTTGGACAAAAAACGTACCACAAATAAGGGGGAGAATTTTCATTCTTCCTGAAAAATCTGAAAATTTTATAATTTTTTTCTATTTCTTTTTTTGATAAATGCTTTCATTTGTTGTGGATGGCATATACACTGGTGGCCAAAACTAAAGCAACTGAAATTACAAGGAGAATGAATGCCCTGTAACTTTTTCAAAAATTAAGAAGATGAGAAAGTTTTTATTGTTTTAAATTAGGTGTTTATTCACTTTTTTAAAAACCTAAAACATAAAACCAAAATTCATTTTTATATAAAAAATAATGTTTGGTAAAGTCAATTAACCCGATTTTGGCTTAGACAAAACAAAAGCAACTCTGTTGTACATTCATATAACCGCTGCAATTTCAGTTGTTTTTACTGTGATATTTATCGCTTTTTGCTTCCTTCGACAATTTCGCTTGTCATAAATCCTTTTTGAGAAGTTTTTTACAACAGTATGTGTTTTTCTTTTCGTTTTTTAAGTACTGCCCAAAAAAAATTTTTAAAATGGCTAAAAGCAAATACAGTACCTGAATAAAACAGCAAATTATCAGTGACTATCAAAACAACATATTACAAAAAATGATTTCCGAGAAATATTTCATAAATATTTATATGATTTCATAATTATTTCTGTATACTAAGTCGGTTTTTTGAAACTGGATCAGTAGTAACAGTCTATAACGGATGAAGGCCGTGAAAAACTTCAGCCCGTACTGATACATAAATTGTGAGATAAATAAAAAACAACTATTTAAGAGTTCAATTGGAGCTCGAGATCAGTGCGTAGACGAGTAGTGGCAGCTGGTCTGCATGCCCATAAGACATCAAAAAACCATTTATATCTGAAAAAATCAAAAAGGCTTTCGGAAACGATAATATTAAGTGGAATCAAGCTCAATGGAAAAAACATTATTTCTGGGATGAGTCTACGTTTAATATTAAATGCTCAGACGTGAAAAATTTTACGGTGAGAAGACCAAAAAATGAAGGACTCAAGCCGCAGTGTTGCAAAGGTACAGTGAAGCATGAGGGAGGGTCAAAAATGGCGTGGCGCTGTTTTTCTTTCTATGGACTTGGGCCTATCCATAAAATAAAGGAAGTTGTGGATCGGTTTGTTTACAAAGATGTGTTGGACATCATGTTGTTCCCTTACGCTGAGTAAAATATTCGGCTGATTTGGGTGTTTCAGCATGACAATGATCCCAAACTTGTATCAAAACTTGTTAAATATTGGTTGCGGGAGTCAAAAATTCATGTTTTGTTATGGGCGGCACAATTACCTGATCTAAACTCCTTAGAAAACCTTTGGAGTATCGTAGATAGGAAGATCAAGAGAGATTCGGAAATAAATAAGCACAATATTTTCTAAAGAATTCGGGGTGCCTGGGAAAGCACACCCAAGGATCAAATTGAGCGTGTTATAGATTCAATGCCTCGTAGGTGTGCAGCTGCTATCAAAAATAAAGGTTATGCTATCGAATACTAGCCAAAATTTAATTATTTTAAAATAAAAAATCAAAAGTTGCTTTAGTTTTGACCAAGCAAAAATTGGGTCATTTTAGTTTTCCACACATTATTTTTCGTTCAAAATTATTTTTGTATTTTTATTTTTAGTTTCTTAAAACTGAATTAAACCCCTCATTTAAATCTGGAAAAATAATTACGATTTGTTCATTTTTGTAAAAGTTATACCATGTTTACGTTAGAACTTTTTGTAGGGTTAACCTACTTTGAGAGGATTTATTTGAAATAAAAGTAATGGATATGACAATTTAAATCCAAACCCAATGGGTTAACCCTCATATATATAAACGTACTGTTACAGGACATTTATTGTCTTTGCGATTTAAGTTGCTTTAGTTTTGGCCACCAGTGTATTTCATCTCAGCTATGTAAGTGATTTGAATGGAACGAAGAACAAAAATCCTTGTTCGCTCAGCTAATTTTTTATAGTTTATAGATATTTTATAATTGTCGAACAACGAATAGAGAGCGAATCAAGTGCCATGTGAACTTAGCATTAAAAGAAAGATGACAAAGTCAGTGCCACCTCTACCCAAACACAATATTTCCCAAAGTACGGGTGGTATAAAAAATATTGTATGTGCTCAAAAATGCTGAAAAGATTAGAACGTTCTTTAGCTACACAAAACCGAAAGCACAAATACTACCTCTGTGGTTTTAAAAATTAATAAACATATAATTGTTTAACAACACTTGAAAACATAATTTTAGAAGACCAAGTGCTGTTACAAATGGGGGTTACTACAAACTGTCGACCCGATCGATATTCGACCCTAGACCCCGGACACAAAACACGGTTTAGACCTGGATCTACTAAACCAATATGAACAATATAGGTATCATTGGAAAGCTAATGAAAATCTATCCAACAAGTGGTCACATTATGGGGCTATTTAAAACGGTTCGGGACATGTATATTTTTGGGCACGGATTTTTTAAAAAATCCCCCAAAAGTCTAAAAAGGCGCAATTTCGCAGTCAACGAAATTTATGCCAAATTGCAGTTGAATCTATAACCCTCCCAATATGTTATTCCGATATCGCCGAAAATTGGCGGAAATATGAGGAAAAAATGTCAGGTATGATAGACAGGTCTCAAAAATCTATTCCAGAGCATTTCCTTGCACATTGAATCGATAATATGAACAAAAACCCTTAAAAAGTGTCAGCTCTGTTAAATTATAACATAATGCTATGTCACGATATCGTGACAACATATTTTCCCACTACCGACGCCATCTATTGAAGAAAAGTAACAATGTAATGTCCCATCCAAAGACATATATTATAATAAGATGAGATCAAAGACATATAATATAATAAGATGGGACCAAAGACATAAAACTACACCTAATTCTGTTTTTACATGGTCTTTTTGTACACGGTTTTGATATAACACGGTTTGAAAATTAAATATTTTTAATTTTTTACACGATTTTATTCCGTTTAGCACGATTTTAAATTTTATGTACTTAAATTTTTTTGTCAAATTTAATTTTTGCGAAGTATGTTCATATCACAAAAAAGTATTTATGAAAGAAAAAAGTTTTAAACCATCGATAGTTATTCTATTTTATTTTTTACCTTAAAAATTGAATAACCTATTCTTTTCGTTCACAATATAGTTTTTTAGTTCCTGAACTTGCCATACATTTAACTTATATTACAGAGTGCATATCTTTTTATCATTAATTACTATGCTTGTGAAAATAAGCATTATATATTTGATTTAATAAAATAAACATGAATTTTTGTTCTTAAAAATTCTTGTTTTTCACTAATTTTAATAGGTTTTAGAGATTAGGAACAAATCACCCATTTTAGTATAAGATCAATGTCTTTTTTTACACGTTTTTTTTTTACACGGCTTCTTCTGGAACCAATCTACCGTGTAAAAACAGACTTAGGTGTATAAAGATTGGACGAAATGCATATGGGCTTTACTTTTTCTATCAGGTAATAGATGGCAGGACACATAACAGAAATGCATTGGAAATTTAAAAAAAATATGTTATTCCTATATCGCCGAAAAATGGCGGAAATACGCGGAAAAAAATATCAGCTATGATAGACATGCTCTCAAAAATCTATTCCAGAGCATTTCCTTGTTCATTGAATCGATAGAAATCAACAACAACCCTTAAAAAGTGTCAGCTCTGTTAAAATTTAACATAATGCTGTCACGATATCGTGACATAACATATTTTTCCACTACCAGCGCCATCTATTGAAGAAAAGTGAAAATGTAAAGTCGCATCTTATTATATTATATGTCTTTGGTCGCATCTTATTTATTATATGTCTTTGATCCCCATGGGACATTACATTGTTACTTTTCTTCAATAGATGGCGTTGGTAGTGGAAAATATGTTATGTCACGATATCGTGACATAGCATTATGTTATAATTTAACAGAGCTGACGCTTTTTAAGGGTTGTTGTTGATTTTATTGATTCAATGTACAAGGAAATGCTCTGGAATAGATTCTTGAGACCATGTCTATCACACCTGACATTTTTTCCTCGTATTTCCGCCAATTTTCGGCGATATCGGAATAACATATTTTTCTAAAATTTCCAATCCATTTCTGTTATGTCGCCTGTCATCTATTACCTGATAGAAAAATTAAAGGCCATATGCATTTTGTGCAGTCTTTATAGTTGTATGTCTTTGATGGGATATTACATTGTTTCTTTTCTTCAATAGATGGCGTTGGTAGTGGAAAAAATATGTTATGTCTTTGTATGCATTTTGTCCAATCTTTATAGTTTTATGTCTTTGCTAATATTTACAAAGCTGTCTCACTGGCAACGCTGCTCAAAAAGGAAATAAATCAATCGATAGTATCATCGATTATTTTACATCTCTAGAGTAATTTCCCTCCAGCAATTCCACATTGTTCTGCCTCCGTAAATTGAAATTGTTATAAGCAATCCGTTTACAATAACTGCATAACGTGTTACATTATTAATTGTTCATAGTGGGCCACAAGCACTGACCTCAGGATGGAAGAATTAAAAAATGCGGCTTATTTTACTGAATATGAAGATCTCGAGGTAAAAGTTTTATTCAACATTACAAACTACGTCACTTGCTGAATTTGTTTAAGGCATATTGAGCTGTCACTGTTCCCTTAGTTTATAGGTGTTTATATAGGATTCAGAGATATTAGTCTAACAATTCAATTTGTGTTCCAAAGTTAGCTAAATTTGATACTTATTTAAAAAACAGGGGAATTAGAATTTAGTTTATCTTGATTTATTAAAACGTGTTGTGTGATTGTATCGTAGGTATTAGAAGCATAAATATTGTCATTTATGTGTTTGTTTTCTCTTTCGAGACGAGCTTAATGATCTGAAATTTCCAGTGAAAAGGAAGCCAGATAGACACTATCACACACTCACCACTATGCGACGCGTTTCGCCGTTGGTTAAGCGGCTCATCAGGCATATTTGGTGTGGATGATGGCTTACAAGGGCCGTTCTCTGGAAAGTAGTATATATTTCGAACTTATTGCAAATTAGCATATGGGAATTATACACTAGAAACTCTCCAGGTTCGACTCAAGTTCTATTGGCAGATCTTTTTCACAGCAAAGTTTTGTTTTTGTAGTGATGGATTTTTTGTCCACAACAACTACATTGCTTCCAATGCATACACTTGTTTTAGTGCTGCTTTAGGAAGACGGGTTAATGGCTCTGAACGTAGAGACGGCAACTTCTAGTTGGCTGCACACCGAGGTCCTCGGTTCAAATCCCACAGCCGGGCTCGGCTGAATTTTTGAGTTTTGCCTTGTTAAGGCGAAGATCATATGTTTTATGATTTATGTGTTTGTTTTCTCTTTCGAGACGAGCCTAATGATCTGAAATTTGCAGTGAAAAGGATAGCCAGATAGACACTATCACACTCACCACTATGCGACATTTATGTTTATCAACTAATACAAAATCAAAATAAATATTGAAAATTATTTCGTTCATGGAATCTCTTTGCACAAGTAGGGATTATTTAAAAGATTCGGAATTATATCTAATTTATAGATTTGTTGGATCCTCATTTTTTATATATAATACTAAAAGTCGAAAAGGTCATATTATGGGCGTGCACAAAATACATGCCAAATTATAATTGACACTATAATCTGGATCCAGAACCCTAATAACTCGATTTTTTCATTTTTGATTCAAATATGATGTTTTTAGTGTTGGAAGGCAACTAACATAAACAAGTATAAAATATTGAAAAGCTTTGCGTAGCCGGCTTAGGACATACCTTGAGCAGAAAATCACAAGCCCTGACCAAAGGTCGCCTACTTAAAAGATGTATCAATTAAAAAAATTGTTCGTTCTTGTAGCCTGTGTTGGACATATCTGAAGCAGAAAACTCCAAGTTTTGTTCGGAGTTCGGCTACCTAAAACAGTATCACATTTAGATTAAATCAAGTTTCAAATTTGGTTCAAAAATTTAATAGCCAGATTAAATCAAGTTTCAAATTTGGTTCAAAAATTTAATAGCCAGACAAATATCTCTGAAACCTATCGAAATATCGAGGTCCAAAAATCGATTAAATTTGATGTAACTCCCTAACCGTTTAAAATAACCCCGCCTTGTGATATAGAATGTCCAAAAGGATATTAACAAAATTAAAGTAGAAACAACTCTAGTTTAGTAAAAACTCTTCGACTTTTTCGAATTTTTTTTCATAGGTAATTATTTTTACCCTGATTTCGGAAAACTATTTTTTCTTTGGGGACGGACCAGATTTTTGACACCGACTAGACCCGGATCTAGTTACCTGATATAGGTATTTTTGGAGAGCTTATGAAAATACCTATCCAACAAGTGGTCAGGCCGGCTACTTACAAAAAGTATCAAATTTAGAAAAGTTTGGTTCGCGTTAGCCGGTATGGGACATACCCAGAGGAGAAAATCTCAAGCTCCGGCCGAAGGCCGTCCACTTACAAAAAGTATCAAATTTAGAAAACTTTGGTTCGCGTTAACTTGTGTGGGACATACTTAGAGGAGAAAATCTAAAGCCCCGACCGAAGGTCGTCTACTTACAACAACTGTTAAATTAAAAAAACAAAAGTTTAGTTCGCGTAACTGGTTGAACGTACCAGGAAGATAATATCTCTGGACCCAGAAAAGGCATTGTGGAAAGTTAAGAGTAGCAGCAATAATTTGACATCAATTTGGTTGACGCCCATAATGGGCCCCTTTGCGACTTTTTGGGTTTTTATTTATAAAAAATCCGGGTCTAAAAAATAGATAATTTGACTATAACTTCCGAATAAAAAAGATAGTTTCTTGAAATCATATAGTTAGTTAGTTAGATAGTTTCTTGAAAAAAAACTAACTCTGGTAAAAATTTGGAAAAAATCGAAGATTTTTTACTAAACTAGAGTTAAGCCCAAATTACAATTTATGTACCAAAAAGAAACCAATCAAAAATAGAGTTCAATAACATAGAATTGAATGTTGCCATATATCAATTTAGCTTAAGTTGAATTTAGGGCCTATGCTCGGATTGACCTGAAATTTTTACCACATGTATGTATGTTTAATCTGATTACGGCAAAGTAACTTGTTTGTGGAGGAAATACCCGATTTTTGTACCGGAACTTTTCGAAACTATTTTTTTAATATAGAAAGTAAGTAAACAAAATTACCTTTTTTCTATAGGCAAATTTTGGTTCAAAAGCAAACAAATCGAAATGCCACAGTAGACAATCAAATAATATCAGTCGTTGATTTACAAATTTTGTGTTAAAAAATGAATATTTCTACTAAAAGCATGTAAGCATTTCCACGCAATTAAAATGTTGAAGTTTTTATGATTGGTGGAACACAACTGCTTCTGGTGCTCCGTTTAATTTGTCGCTCCATTTCTCCCAACAGCATCACAACAGCTCCTTGCTTACTCAAAACTTAGCAATAAATCTGAATAAAAATTTTGGTATTGTTCACACAACCTTATGTGTGTTCCATTTTATTCGCTATAAATTATCCTATATCCATCCAAAAAGCCCATGAATCAACCTCGCTCTGTGTCTGCTTCGACTATGTTAGGTTAGGTTGAAAAGAGGGCGAAACAATCGTCACATATCCTAGTGGACATACACTTAAGCCATTATTGGCCTGTTGTGTGCTCTGGAATAAAAAGGTTGTTGAAAGAAGACCGGCAGTTTACAGTTGATATTCAGTTGCTTTACCAAAAATCATTAACTGTTTTATTTCCTTTACCATGATCTGATTAAGGTCTGGTATGGAGTCGTTCCCCATATATTGGGATCTAATATTTGCAAACGCTGGGCATTGGCAGAGAAAATGTTTCGTCATCTTCCCCGCATGCCCTGCAAAAACTGTTATTTGCCCAATTTATACAGATGAGCTTGGGGTCGTCCCATAGGATTTTGCTCATTGCACTTTCTTGGATGTGGTCTCCCTAATTAAGTTTCCTATCTAGAATCACACCCAGATATTTAACCTCTTTGGAAATGTTGTTTGTCTTATTAAAGAAGGTTGGTTCATCGATGTGCCCCAGTTCTGTTTTCCTGGTGAAAAGACATATCTCATTTACATAAGGACCTCTTGGTATGGCCCACTTGTATGCAAGTTTCAGAGCCGACATGGCCCTTCAGCAGAACAAGGTTCTTTCCCCTCAGAAGTATTATAACGTCGTCTGCATAGCAGACTGGTTCAAATCCTCCGTTGTTTGAAGTCCACCATTGTCTCGGCTTGTATCTCAGAAAAGTTGTATTCTTTAAGATTATTATGGTAGCTTTCCCAGAATACTGCTCTCTCTCTCTCTTTTCATTTGATACGAATTTCCCCTGTCATCCAGGGTTTTTGCAAGCAGATTTCTCTCTCGATGGGGACAGCATTCTTCGAATGACCTTACTAAGGTGTCCGTTAACCTATTAACATTTCTGTCTATGGCATCTATGCTTAGGTATTCAATGTTCTCTTGCCCTAGCCTTTCTTTTACTAACCTTCCAAACTTCATCCAGTCAGTCGTGGAATGGTTCTGGAAACGAATTGGGTTCGACTTAAATCTTATATATCGATGATCCGAAAAGGAGCGTTCATCCAAAACCTTCAAATTTTGAATCTCATTTATCAGATTTTCTGAACAAAAAGAAATGCCTAAAAATTCTTCCCCAAATTTATTTACAAAGGTTGTTTTATTTCAAATGTTTATAATTATTAGGTCGTTAGTATTTTGATAATCTAATAATCTGGCCGCGTTTGTTAGTGTCAGTACTAACCCACGCAATGTGGGTTAGATAGCATCGCTACCTATTAGTACTTCGTTACCAGTTTGTTTGCTTTGCTCACCAGCCGCTGCAGTTCCGACGTAGGTGGGTCGAACGGTAGGTGTACTGACGCTAGGTATATGCGCCATTCTCCTGCTTCAGTACTGTTGCCTCTGATGTCGACAACTCTCGGGGGAAAAGAAAACAAAACATTTTGTTCTTAACAGTCTGAGGTTCCAGAATTAATCCAATGTGTATCTTACCTGTATTAATTAGTCCCATCAGTGCTATAGTTGCCATCTCGCTCCGATGAAGGTGCTATTGACCATGAAGAAACAGATGGATATCTACATGGACCAATGTGAGCGTAAATTTAAAGCCAAAGCTGATGCACTATTTGAGTTGTATTGTGTACAAATTTCTGAGGTAAAAAAGCGATTTGAATGTACTCAGCAGATTAGTGGATGAATTGAAGTCAGGTGTTAATGAGGTGAAGAGCGCTGCTGCAAGCATGGAGGAGAGATTGTTAGGTAGAATTCGAGAGTTGGAATTGATTAATTCTATGCTCCTGCGCAGACTGAACCATTCAGATGTAATTTTTATAGGCCTGCTAATAATGTTAAGGGCCTTAGAGCTCAAGTTGTCAATATTGCTAGGGTTTGTGGATTACATCTGGGCCTCGTGACTTGCATCATTGCTGTTACATCTCTGATCGTAGAGTGGTTCTTGTAAAGTTTAACTCCATTCAGGATAGAGATGCTTTGATGCGGAATTTTTCCAAAAAGGGGCGTATACCTTTAAAGGAAGTAATAGAGGATTGTATTCTTGAATCCCGGGTGTACATAAATGATCACCTGATTAAGTCAACTTCGAAACTGGTTTTTGCTTGTCGTGGTTTGCTGAGGAAGAAGCACATTAAGAGTTTTAGGTTGGTCAATGGTCAATGGCTGGTCGCCTTTATTTGAAGTGGTTCTCTCTGATGGAGTAAAGACTATTTTTGAGCAATGTTAGCTGTTTGAACTGGTCAATCGATCCCGGTTTGCTGGTTGGTGATGGTAATGCTGTATAATAGTTGTCTGCATGGTAGAGGAATTTAGTTAGACGCATCGATGCTGGGACAATGAACTGTCATACCAATTTTGGAATTGAAAATGTTGAATGAAAAATTATTTAAATTTGTAAAAATTGTTAAAAAAACGCGAATTATAATAAACTCCAAATCTACTTATATTTGAAAAAACATTTAAATTTGTTTGACATATCAATTTTTCAGGCATGTCCCGTCTTGCTTCCATGGAAAACTTTTGTATGGTCACTCGAATTGTCAAAGTTTGAGACCGTCTAGATATAATCATAAGGTTGATGAGTTGAAATGTCAGCTTGTTGGTAGTATATTTTTGCCGTGATTGACTTTTGGCTTAACTCTGCGGTGTCTTTGAGTTCGTTGAGGGTGCCGGGATACAAGGTTCAGCGTAATGACCGTATTTAGAGGTCATCTTTGAGGCCAATGCTTGCCAAATTCTGTGTCTACGCAAACTTGTTAACTCTATTGTTGGGTATGTGTTTGGGTTGCTATTATTATATACATATTTCTTTTTATAAACACTACGTTTGTTCGCGCATATTCAATGGAATTCGAATAGAATTTTGGAAAAATTCTGAAAAATAAACTCCTCATTTTTATGTACCAATTCTTCACCATCCGCAACTTATTTGATTAGTGGAAATGTCTCTTTAGTCGTAGGTAGTGCAAATGTTGATCCCGATGAGAGTTGACATTTTATATTCCCAAGGAAATTCCAAATGGTCTTGTTCAAACAAATTCATAATAAATAATTTAAAAAGTTATTTCTAAAGTTTAATTCTCTCATTTGTTTCATAACCAGTTCTTAACATTTACTTATTTGTTCTGTTTTTGTTTGTGCTCTAAAGATTTTAATATTTTTCACTATGCAAAAAAAATTCAAAATTCTTCTTTTTTCATATTTTAAAATGTTTTTCATGTTCTTTGGAAGGTATTTGTGTGTTAAATCTTTGTTATAAAACAGTTGCTTGATTTTTCCCCTTTTTGTTTAGTTGTACTCGTTTTTTGTGGACTTTCTGATAAACTCCGGAATACAAGATTTTCATTGAAAACATTTAACTTTAAAAGAAAATTTGTTATATTAAAATGTACATAACACTCATTTCAGTAGCAAACAATAAATTGTAACTTAAAGCATTAGATCGCGAGGACAATGTGGATCCTAGAATAGAAAAGTAATAGTTTTATAGGGTAAGTGTACCAGTAGTCGGCACTTTTAGGATTTTCGCGTTTTTAATCGCTCACCATTCTGAGTGGAACTTTTCAATTATTACAAAGTTAATTAATTCAGATTCGAAATTTTGTATAGTTTTTGCAATAATAAATAAAGTTTTAATAACTTTTTATTAAATTTCATAAATTTGTAGTTTTTTTAAAACAATGTTTTTTTTTCCAGTAGTCGGCACCACTTGCTAATTGTCGGTATGGCATGTTCCAACAGTCGGCATACCAAATTTTTTGTAAGAATAATTAATAATAATAATAAATTAATTCATTAAAATATAATATTTTTGTTTAGTTAAACTGATTCGACGTCTTTATTGTATCTTAAGAATATGGATTGTTGAGGACCTTCACAGACAAAAATTTAATTTTTATTAGAATAAATCATCTTTTCTTAGCGAAATTGAACACAAAGATAGCTGACAATATATTTGAAGTAAACAAAATATATTTAGTTATAATAGTTTCATTTATTTGGGCTTAAAAATAAAAAGTGCCGACTACTGGGACATGTCGAACTTAATCACACTTACCCTATTTTATTTATATCAATAGAAACTTGCGTTAGTATCGGAATTAATTTTAAAATTATGTGGTTGCCATTGTCGATTGAGCAAATGGGATCTCCTCTTTTATTGTGCCATGCATTTAAGGTAGAACGTAAAATATTTTGAAAATACTTTCATTATATGGTTCGATTTCGTATTTTTAAATGTTGAAACTAATAACAGAGCGGAATGTGAGAAGTACTTTTTTGAAAGTACGGGATCAACATATCACCACCTAATCAATAGCTGGCAATCATACTACTACTTTTTACTCGATCAAATCTGTAAAGTAAAAATAGTTAAAAATTAACACCTTATTTGCTCGAATAACCTACAAAGTTTTACTAATTTTTGAGCACGACAAAAAATAGTAAAGGTTCTGGAATGAACCTATACTGTTTACTTTGATAAAAGAGACACAACTACATTAATTACATTAAAAAATTATATAATATTACTTAAATATATTTTCCTATGTACATATGTACTGACTTAATATTTTATATATATCTTTTAATGATTGGACCATTTTTAGGTGCACGAAATTATGCTGAGAGACAGACCTCGTCAGGAGGCGTACAAAAACGCCATAATGAACAATACATCCTTATTTAGGGACAAAGTAGTTATGGACGTTGGTGCTGGAACAGGTATATTGTCTGTATTCTGCGCAAAAGCTGGTGCAAAATTGGTTTACGCCGTGGAAGCCTCGAATTTGGCCAAGGTCGCATTATCGGTTATTGAGGAGAACAATCTGACATCCATTGTTAAGGTATGTTTGATATTATGAAATTCAAGGATTGTTTCTTTTCTGATATACAACTTTCTTCCATAAAATCAATTGATTTTGTGAATTGATCTGAAAATAAAGGTTTTTACATATATTCAATCAAAAATATATATAAAAATGTCCTTACGAAAAAAAATTTTCTATATATATAAAAGAAAGTTATGTTGGTTACTACTCGAGAATGTCTAGCCGGATTTTGACAATTCTCGCCACTTGGCAGAAAAGGATTAAATCCAAAATTAATGCGTAAAAATTCAAAAAAAAAATCCTATTTCTTTCATATGGCAATAAACCGCTGTACGGGGGTCAATTTGGGGTATGCAGTTAATATATTAAAATCCACAAAGGGTTTTGGGTTACCGGCCCAAACTTTTTTAAGGGTCTATTATATTTATTATATTTTGCTTTATAATTCACAACATTTACGATAGAGATACATATGATAATTTTTTTAAATAAATTAGATACATTTGTTACATTGTATGGGTTACATGAACAATCATTTGTACAAAATATGAGTCATGTCGATCTATACCACATGAGGGTATACCTCGATTTTAAGCGGTTTTTATATTTTTTAAAATAATTTTGGCAAAACAGAGACTTTATCGGTAGACGCACAATTTGTGGTGCTATGATGATAGGTGTAAAATAGTAGTTAACTTAGACTATTCTGAAATCAATCATTGAGGCCAGCCTCAATTATGAGGTGAAAAAACTAAATGCCACGCAGCTGGAGATTCTTAACATTGAAAATTCCAAGCTACAGCTCATTTGAATGAAAAATGTTGCTAAGCATTTTACAATACTAAAAATTGAGCTGAGCTCTTGCATGGAGCTATTACAACTGTTCGTGTATATTTTTATACCCTACACCACAAGATGGTCAGGGTATTGTCTTTGTGCATTTGTTTGTAACAGACAAAAGGAAACGGGATAGACCCATAGTTCCTTTTGATGATCTGCATAGAATCACATTCTGAGTCGATTTATGCATGTCCGTCCGTCCGTCCGTCTGTCCATGTATTTTTGTAAACAAAGTTCGCATTTATTGCCCTATCCAGATGAAATTTTGCACAAATCATTTGTTTGACCCAAGGACGAACCCTATTGAAATTGGAGAAATTGGAAAATTTAGACGTATCTCCCATATATATCTTCGTCCGATTTGCCTTTTATTGTGCACCAAACGTGTAATATCAGCCCGAATAATAAGTATGCCAAATTTGACCGAAATCGGTTCAGATATAGCTATAGCTCCCATATATATTGTTCATTCGATTTGTTATTTTTGTCCCCCGCAGCCGTAATATGCATTCTGTAACAACAATATTTGGAGAAATATATCAAATACATCTCAGAAATACAATTGCTAAATTTTATCAAAATCGTTTCAGATTTGGATATAGCACCCATATATAACTTCGTCCGATTTATTTTTTATTGTGCACCAAACGTCTAATATTAGTTCAAATGGGATAGAATTTGACACTTACGACCGAATAAAGTCTATAAGCTATTATGTCAAATTTGGTGAAGATCGGTTCAGATACAGTTATAGCTCCCATATATACTGTTCGTCCGATTTGTTATATTTTTTACCCACAGCCGTAATATGCACTACTTAACAACAATATTCAGGGAAATATCTTAAATACAGCTCAGAAATATCTTTGCCAAATTTTATCGATTCAGATTTCGATATAGCTCCCATATATATCTTTTTCCGATTTCAAATTAATTGTGCACCAAATGGGCAATACAAGTCTGAATTTAAAAGATACAAATGCTTCGGCATATTTAGTCCTTTGAACTTTAAATTATAATTATAATCATAGCGTGTGTGATTGAATTCTCCCATAAAAACGTTTAATTGTTATGCGAAGCTCTACTAAATTAGCAAAGTGGTGTAGGGTATCATAAAGTCGGCCCCGCCCGACTTTAAGTAAGACTTTCTTTACTTTTTTAATAGATGTGTTATATCATCTAGTTCTTCAATCCAAAATTAAAGCCTATGGCTGAAAAATAGAATCAGTTTTTTTTAAACACTTTAAATCGATCGCTAAATCGACTAAATAGAAATACTTACCCATGACAGAAATGTATACAAAGTGGCGGAAAAGTTAACTTCCGTTATTTTTTTGGCTGTAATTAAAAAAAAAGAAAAACTGATTCTTCTTGTGGATTATTTTTATTTGGTCTTTTAGTTTTTGTACATCAAGTCGAGAATATTATGTCATGTAAATGGCCGCCGTCACAGTTTATTTTCATTTGAGTCCTTTTTATGGCATTTTCCATCATTTTGGCCAAAACTTCTGGCAGTAGGTCCTCACATACTTGGCGGATATTGTTTTTAAGAGCTGAAAGAGTCTGAGGCTTCTTGACATAAACCCATGACTTCAAAGCCACACAAAAGAAAGTCTGGAGCGGTCTTGCCGGACAGTTCAAATAGCCAAAACGGGAGATTAGGCGCCCGGGAAATGCATCTTTCAGCATATCGATCGTTGCATGTGCAGACAATGGTAGTAACAACTACATTAGCTGTTAAGTAAATCTAATTATTATCATGTAAATAAAAGAAATCTCTTTGTCGAAAATATTGTTAAAGATACATTGTGCTCAAAATGCTGTGATATTAATATTAACAATTATGTTTTGTTAAATAGATTGCCCCTGAAGATGCAATTTGGTAATTGTGAAATAATGGCAATACCTTATTGTAATCAGTAAAATATAAAATGTACAATGACCTAAAGCCCAAAAAATCTTATTATTTAAAAGCAAATAAAAAGGTCGACAAACAACCAATGCTCAAGATAATTATAAGTTATATAGTTAAATGGTTTCTTTGGTTATTTTTATCCCACGTATTACATACATAAGAAACAAATAAATAATTGTATTTTTAATATAAAAAGGACAAAATAGCATTATCTGTTCAATATTAAATAACGTTACAACTAAAGTAAGGCCAAAAACACCCATTAACTCGTGCCACCATTTTGTGTGGCAGGGCTAATAATGGTATTGATTGCATGAAGATTTTTAATGGACACAGAGATTAAATTTGTGACATATACGTCACAGATAGGCACATATGCGACATTCGTGTCATTTACGCTTGCACAAAAAACATCAGGAATAACAGCAGTCCGTTGCTGATCTGATGAAGGAAGCAGTTAGGCTGTTAAGGATTAATTAAAATGACCAGAAATTTGTCCAATGAAGCACCAAAGGGGAAGAGTTACATCGGCATTGTTCAATCCCAAATTCCGTCGAGGCTGTCGTAGATATTCGTGCCCTGAAAATGGAAGCGATTTAGTGTTCCCATATCTTCCTATATAAGTATTTTCTTATGTTTCAATCAGCATCCAAGGTGTATCCGATCCGATCGATCTTACTATACATAAAACCTTTAAATAGTTTAGAAATTGCGAAACTTGCAAGTAAAATACGTCATCATATACATATTTCGGAACTATACATATAGAACTGCGGAGAAAAAACCACCATGCGATTTAATACGTGCAACTTACGATGCATGTTATTACTGATTTTTTAATTTCTGACAAGTCATTGTATATATAGAAATGTTCCCGTTTTCATTTAACACCATATGACTGTACCTAACCAATTTTCGGTGTTCTGATGATTTTAACCACATTTTCAACATTCGGTACATAGAGTTCGTTATAGGTTCTACCTCCGGTGGCAGATTATTGTGTAGAGTTTCTGGCTTGCGTGGAGAAACAAAACTGTCCTAGTCCGAATTCGAACTGAAAGTCGGTAGAGACTTCAGATTTCGGAACCGAATTCGGTCCGACTTCTGACCGAAAGTTATATGGAGTGGTTGTCGGACCGAAAGGTCGAATGTCTGAAGTGAAGCCGACTTTCGAACCGAATTTTCATGGATATCCATGGGAAATTCGGAAGGGAAATTAGAGCTGTCAGCCCGAATTCGCCGCGAACTCGGAAGCAATATCGTGCGCATTTCTGATTTTGTTGCCGATTTTCTAATAGTATTCGGTTTTATATCCATGGGAAACTAGAGCTATGAGATCGATTTCCGACCAACCAATGTAAACATTCAATTGACAAAAAAATATTTCTTCCACCGTCAACCTTCAACTATCTTTGAACACTAATTGGCGCAGGTCAATAACAATTACGCATATATAAGCACAAAAAAACTCTTAAGGAGAGAGAAACTCACTCAATTTCTTTCCTTTCTGATTGTTTATAACTGTTACCCTAGATGCAGAAGAGAAAAAACTGGGACAAATTGGCAAGATTCGGAAATACGTTGGTCAGACATGTCGGAAAAAACTCCCGACTTTGAGCAGACGTGTCGGACGTCCGAAATTTGGTTCACTGGGTATAGGCGACAAAAGATATCAATATCGATTGCTAACAGCTGTTTGATTTGTATGGTCGATTCACCCGACGAAAACAAATTAATTGATTTTTCATAAATCTCCTACAGCGGTTAATATTTTTGATATTTTAGACTTGAGTGACTTAAATATTTTCATTCATATCCCTGAAACGACATATACGTCATCTGCTCCGAATTTTTTTCGACTGTATATTTACTGTAAGAGATTTTTGACCTGTAAATACATGATGACATCAATAAATTCAATTAAACAATGATGACATCAATAAATTCAATTAAACAATGATGACATCAATAAATTCAATTAAACAATGATGACATCAATAAATTCAATTAAACAAGTTTGTTGGCAACCCTGCTGTGATAAGTGTAAAAAAATTGTGGTGCTCCGTGCTTTTGAAAAAAATTATTAGTTATATGTTTTATTAAATTAATTAATCTTATAAAAAAGTGTTCAATGTTGATTTTGTAACTCAAAGTGATAATTGGTGTAGTGTTTTAAAATCTTGTTTTGTGTTTTAAAGTAATATAAATTTTCAAATTGTGTAGTTTTACATTCTCCTTTTATCCTGTTTCTTCTGTTACA